CGGCAGGGAGGTCCGCATCCTTCTCCGTAAGAGAAGAAAAATGTGGGATAGATTTCGGTTACTGGGGACTGATGAAACTAAATCCCAGTATAGAAAAGTCCGGAATACCTGTGCCTCGACCCTCCGTAAGTCTAGAAAGTTGTACGAAGAAAAGATTGTTAAGGAATCCATAGAATGTCCTAAACGCTTGTATTCTTATATAAACCAAAGGTTAAAGAGCAGAGGAAATATTCCTGCTGTATGGGGAGACAGTACTGCTTCATCATTAGTGGAGGACGACTTTGGTAAGGCTCAAGTGTTCTCGAACTACTTTAGCAACGTATATACCATAGAAGCGCCCTTCCTGTCAGCGTATACAGATCCCCCCATGCATACACTGGATAGCGTGACCATTAAAGAACTCGATGTCTTTGGTCTGCTAAATAAGCTTGACATAGGTAAATCCACGTGGCCAGATGAATTGCATCCTAGGCTACCGAAGGAATTATTTAACTTCGTTGCGAACCCTTTAAGTATATGCTTTAACCTATCCGTAACGCAGGGTCGTTTACCCAAAGATTGAAAAAACGCCATAGTAAGTCCTGTTTCCAAAACAGGTACGAAACACAAACCTGAGAATTACCGCCCCGTTAGCCTAACTAGTGTGGCTGTTAAAATCATTACTTACTTACCTACGCCTGTTACTCCTAATGGAGCATAGGCCGCTGACCAGCATTCTCCAACCCACTCTGTCCTGGGCCTTCTTTTCTAGTTCCATCCAATTCTTGTTCATTTTTCTCATTTCTATCTCCATTTCTCGGCGTAATGTGTTCTTTGGTCTTCCTCTTTTCCTTTCGCCTTGAGGATTCCATGTGAGGGCTTGTCTTGTGACGCAGTTGGGTGCTTTCCTCAATGTGTGTCCTATCCACTTCCAGTGCTTCTTCCTGATTTCTTCCTCCACTGGGATCTGGTTTGTACTCTCCCACAGTAGGTTGTTGCTAATAGTGTCCGGCCAATGGATCTGAAGTATTTTGCGTAGACAATTGTTAATAAACACCTGTATTTTCTGGATGATGGCTTTCGTAGTTCTCCAGGTTTCTACCCCATACAGTAGAACTGTCTGCTTTGCCGATCCGCGCCTTCACATCTGCATCAGATCCACTCTGTTCATCAATGATGCTGCCCAAATACGTAAAGGTTTTTACATCTTCCAAATCTTCTCCGTCAATTTTGATTGGATTAGTGCATTCTGTGTTGAATCGGAGAATCCTGCTTTTCCCTTTGTGTATATTGAGACCTACTGCTGCTGAGGCTGCTGCCACACTGTTCGTCTTCTCCTGCATCTGTTGTTGCGTTTGGGATAGAAGGGCCAGATCATCTGCGAAGTCTAGATCATCCAATTGTATCCTAGATGTCCATTGTATCCCGCGCTTCCCTTCAGACGTTGACGTCTTCATGATCCAGTCGATCACCAGGAGAAAGAGAAAGGGTGAGAGTAAGCAACCTTGCCTGACACCGGTCTTCACTTCAAACTACTTTGTCAACTGTCCTCCATGCACAATTTTGCAGTGAAATCCATCATATGAGTTCTGTATGATATTGACTATCTTCTGAGGCACGCCGTAGTGTCGAAGAAGTTTCCATAGTGTTGTTCTGTCCACGCTATCAAATGCCTTTTCATAGTCAATGAAGTTGATGTAAAGTGATGAATTCCATTCAATTGATTGTTCCACAATGATTCGTAGAGTTGCGATTTGGTCTGTACACGATCGATCCTTACGGAATCCAGCCTGTTGGTCTCGAAGTTGGGCGTCTACGCAGTCCTTCATCCTGTTTAACAATACCCTGTTGAAGACTTTTCCTGGTATTGAGAGAAGAGTGATGCCCCTGTAGTTATCACAGTTGCTGAGATCGCCTTTCTTTGGTATTTTGATCAGAAGTTCTTCTTTCCAGTCTGTTGGTACTTGTTCCTCATCCCAAATCCTGCTGAAGAGAATGTGGAGTATCCTTGCAGTTGCCGCTACGTCTGCCTTCAGTGCCTCTGCTGGAATGTTGTCTGATCCTGCTGCTTTGCCACTCTTGATTTGTCTGACAGCCATGCTGATTTCTTTAATTGTTGGTGGGCCAACATTTGGAGGTCCGTGGGTGGGTTCAGTGGGGCTGGTCGATTCGAGAGTTCTTTGAAGGGTTCTACCCACCAGTTTCGTTGTTCTTCAATGTTGGTGATTACCTCGCATTCCTTGCTTTTCACTGGTCGTTCTGATTTGCGGCGATTTCCAGAGAGTTTCTTTGTCGTGTCATACAATTGTCTCATGTTTCCTTCTCTTGCAGCCTTTTCCGCCGTCGTTGCTAAATCTTCCACATATTTACGTTTGTCGGTTCTGATGCTCCTGTTCACTTGTTTGTTTACTTCTGTGTATTCAGCTTGTGCCTTGGCTTTTTCTGCTCTTGTTAGGCTGGTATTGATTGCTGCTTTCTTGTTCCTTCTTTCTTGAATCTTATCCAGTGTATCAACAGTGATCCATTCCTTGTAATGGTGCTTCTTGTGACCCAGGACCTCCAGGGTGTCCTCATCCTTTTGGACTGAGGAGGGAAATACAATGTTTCCGTACTCTAAATGTGGACGAATAAAACTATTGAAGATTATATGGAAAGTTCTGTCAAACTGGCCAAAAATGCGCTTCAGTGTTACCAGTGCAAGATTTTCTCGAAAGGTATTTTTGTCACAGAGTATGACTTCAAATCGTAGGGTACCAGCACTTCTAAATCTTTTTCAACTTGAGATACTTCTAGTGAGGAGTTCCTTAATTTGTAGTTGTAGTCTGAAAAATGTCTCAGATGGACTACTTTACATTTTGAAGTGTTAAAGATAAGTCCGTTGTCATATGCCTAACTTTGAAGTCGAGTCAGATCCTCCTGAAGTGCCTGTATATCTTCTTGGTTGCGTATCTCTCTCCAAAGTTTCACGTCGTCGGCAAAAAGTAATAAGTCTGACGTTACCTGTTGAGAAAGATCATTTATGTAGATCAAGAAGAGAAGAGGTCATAGTACCGAGCCCTGAGGGACCCCACTAGGACATCCCATAGCCTGAGAGGAAGTGAAATTAACCCTGACCTTAAAATGTCGATTTTTCAGGTATGAAGTTAGCCAATCGATTAGAGGTGGTCTGATACCCAATCGTTAGAGCTTATTGATAAGACATGTTAGCCTTATCAAAAGCTTTTGAGAAATCTAGGTAGATGATATCAACCTTCCCCTTGTGATCAAGGATGTTTTTCCGTCTGTCCAACGCACTCAGAAGGTTGGTAATACAAGTGTAACCCTTCCTGAAACCATGCTGTTGGGGTGAGAAGAAATTTAAGGACAGTAAATAGTCGTTTATACCATCGCATATCAGGGACTCCATGATTTTTGAGGATATGGAGAGAAGAGCCACCGGTCGGTAGCTTGAAGGTTCGCTGCGTCGACCTCCTTTGAAAATTGGTGTGATGTGAGCCAGCCTCCAAATTTCCGGTAGTTTGCCTCGGCTTAGCGATTGTGAGAACATCACGCTAAGCGGCGTTGTCAAGATTGAGGCTGCTTCCCTCAGTATGGCGGAGTGGACCATGTCCGGGCCAGAAGAAGTGTCTAATCTTAAGTGCTGCAGTTTCCGGAACACCAAGTCAGCGCTTAGGTTCACTTCGGAAGGTCCTGTGGAATTGCAAATGAAACTGTCATCAGTAAAGTTAGTGTTGGTCGGTTGAAATGTCTGGGACTAATGTTCAGCCAGAAGGCGTCGCCATCGTTGTTGGTCGGGCCGTTAAGACCTACCAGTTGGGAAACTCCAGTTTTGGCTTGATGAAGAGAGGCTGCATAGCGGAATAGGCTTTTGGGGTTAGAGGCAAATTTGTCCATAAGCTTTGTCTGGTACTGAAGCCTATCTTCTCTTATAGCCTTCGTGCATATGTTCCTGATATAATTATATTGCCTGTACGCCCCGTCGTTGTCAGTTCGTTCGTATTCCGCCCAACAGTGCCTTTTGCGGCTTAGCAGGCGAAGAGTACGGTTCTTGATTATTGTAGGTGGCTTGCAGCTTTTGGGAACCGTTTGAGGAACTGAATGGTTTGTAGCACGTAAGGGCGTGTGCAGTAAGAAATCCCAATGACCGTCCACATCGAGTTGGGGGTGAACATCCCAAACCACCTGTTGTAGATAGTCGTGTAGAGCTGGCACATTTAACCGTTTAAAATCCCAACGCAAGTTATTGGTGGGGTATCTTAGCTTAGTTTTGCTGACAAAACTGAAGGCTATGACGGCATGATCGCTTTTTCCCAAGGGAGCCAGGATTGGGAGGTTGTCAACTAGAAATTCTTCGTTTGTGAATACAGTCTAAGCGCGGTGGGGTCTGATTGTTTCTCCAACGAGTTGCCGACCTCAAATTTTCGTACAATCCCAAGTTATCGATGAGGTTGAAGAACCGAGCTTCAATTGAGTTGTCGCCTCCAGTATACGTGTGTTCCGCGAAGTTGACTCTAGGGAGATTAAAGTCCCCTAGAATCAGGATGTGTGAAACCGAGACGAGTAGAGAGGGATAGTCCTTCCAGCATACGACTATCGTACTCGATGTCGGCAGTTGGCTTCCTGTAAATGACTCCGACTAGACACATCGAAATACTTGACAACGCGTGAGCTTCTTCCTGTTTGTCTGTATGAGCCTTACGTGAATGGACAGGTAGCCCACCTATATGAGGTTTGCCGAGGTGGTAGACCCTGTCCTTTACACGTTTTTTTTATCGTCTAGACAGTTTACAAGTGGAATGATCAGCTCCAACTTGCCTTTGTGTTTGGTCCTAGCTTCGTATAGCCTATCTATAACACTCCTAAAGGTGATAAAAAACCCAAGTTGGTCAAATGGTCGATAGTAATTACGAATAAATTAATCTTGATGATTTGTGTCATAAGCCATCTGATGTGACACTAAGTTAGGATATATTTGTTTTAATTAGTTCCGAAAGGTTTTAGCGTAGTCGAATAACCCCCAGTTTCTGGGTCTTTATTCTGTCTCAGGTAGGCTTATCATTCGCAGTCTTTTGAAACGACTTTTGTAATTGAAGTTTATCCTGTAAGCTGATCTGGATACTAAGGTTCTTGCCATTTAGGACGAAAATTCACACTACCTACTATTACCATAGTAAATGCTACAATTCCGTACGTTGGGCTTTTCAAATGACATTCAGCTTAACTACTCATAACTTTCTACCTTGGCACAGTATTCCTGTTGTGTTTATCTACAAATATGCTCTTAAATACAATGGGTGATTTTGACAAACTAATGGTGACTTCTGTCACAGACAGTAATCAGTTCATCACCGTATCTTTGTACTTCTACGTTGTTCTTTGCGCCAGCAAGAATTTTGCCAAATAGTGATTGGACCCATGAAGATTAACTTCCCTAACCGACCTCAGGGTGTCAAACTTGCGATTCAGTGGCCAGGTTGTTGAATTACATTGTCTTGAGTCATTTCAAAAGGTTCAGTTACTCTTTGTGTCCGAAGCGTGCCCTACGTCAAAGTCATTTTGACAAAACAGGGGTGTCAATGCTTTAACACAGCATGATAGTTAAGTAAGTCGACTTTGAGTTAGCTTCGTTGATTACTCCAGTCACACTGAATCACATTTTCGTACTTAATATTTTAACATCAACCTGTTTGTTAGGAGTCTTGACCAGTTAAGATGGCTTGTCATTATCTACTCCTTTAATGTTTCTGCTTCCTGTCAATTGGTCAACGATAACTGCCTTAGAATTATCTCGTATCTCTTCATAAAGCCGTTGTAACATTAACAACACGGTAAGATAGAGACGATCTTTTATTTAATATTATTAATTGGTTGGTTATATACTTTTATTTGAACAGTGATAGTTATTTGGGAGCTAATTAACCTGGGAATCTACTTCGATTGTGATTTTAGCCAACTGATCAAGCTGCTCATAATACCTATAAACGTATAATCTAGATAAATGATTAAGCAAGTTCACTCTTAAAACTGTTTGCTATTCATAAGAGATATATGACCAGTTGGTGTAACCTGCTTTTGTTTTTATGGCTATGTTATGTTTCTTCTTGAAATCTGGGTTTAAAGTCATAGCTTCCGTTAAAGTAAATTTGACTAGAGTTAGCCATGCTCATTCATCTTAACTCCGATTTGTTCATCCGTAGATTCAGAAAGATGACTGCAGATTTGACCGATGAGAGTCTCTTTCCTATTGCTATTCTTATTGATGAGTTAAGAAATGAGGAAATGCAAACTCGTCTGGCTAGCATCAGAAAACTTACTACTATTGCTCTTGCACTTGGTCCAGAGAGGACAAGAACAGAATTGGTTCCATTCCTAACCGATACCATATATGATGAGGATGAGGTACTTAGGGAAATGGCCAAACAATTGGCAGACTTTGTTCCATTGGTTGGAGGACCTGAATATGTCCATTGTCTTCTACCACCATTGGAAGGACTTGCATCTGCTGAAGAAACGGTTGTGCGGGATAAAGCTGTGGAGACGTTGCGAGCACTTGCACCTAGTTTCTCACCCAAGGTTAGTTTTTCCTCTTTGTACTGGATCCACGCTTTGACGTTATCTTTAAGTTTTCTTATAACCGTACGCCCATTCATGGTTGTGTCGATATCCATTTTAACTCCAATATTTTCTTCAGGGCTGTGAGCAAGATTCGGGACCTTTACCCTTCTCATGATATACTCGCTACAACACGTAACTATCTTCTGGAGTATTATAAAAGCTTACAAGTGTGGCACAAACTGGATAAGTTCCATACAGGTAGTGCTGTTTGGACTGCCCCGAAATCCTCTTTTTTAAACTCCATGTAGTCACGTACGACTTGTTTATCCGGTTTCTGATGAAATACAACTGTTCAGCGTCACTGGGTTAAGGTTTGCGCCAACCAAGGATCGTATCATAATTACTTTTTCTTCCTTGGACGCTTCCTGACAATGTAGTAATGCAAATAATTAACTCAGAGCATTTGATTACGAGTTGGTCACTTTGTAGCTACTTTTCATCTTAATATCCTTGGCTGACAACTCGATTTGTGCTCCAGTTATCTAAGACTGTGGTAATGACTGAGTTTTCTTGGATATCATGTTCTTAGTTTCCCTTATACTGAATTGCCTCTGTTTTTCGGTTTTTAACATTCTCTATAAAAGACTTCCCTACAAATTCCAGAATATTCATTCTCTACTAAGATCAATATTGCGTTTCTTTTGGCGGCTTAGAAATGTATAGAATATCCCCGTGGCATCTCACTGGAGTAAATAGCTGGGATCCTCGTTTTTATGCAAATCACGTCATTGTTTCTTCAAGTCCCTCCAACATATTGAAGTCTGCAGGTGTTGCTACTCATATCTACATCAGACTTGATACCGAATTGTGATCAATAATAACTCAAAATTGATTGTTGCCGTGCTATATTTAGCTGTGAGAACAGACCGATACACGTTCGTGGTAGGTCCCACGTTAATAGTATGTCCTGCTGCTATTATCGTCTGTCCAACTATCTTACACTGGGCTGTCAAGTAAACCTCCCTCTCCTAAAGCCTCCGGTTTAGTTGTCAATTGTAGTCATAATATGTCCTGTAGTTTACTGTCTAGATGATTCGTTATAAACCGTCCCAAGTTTTTGGTTCAAAACTACGACTCAGCGGTTGAAATTCGAGTGGCCTAACCACTGAGCTACCCTTCCATGATGTAACTCAGCAACTTAAACATCCTATAACCTCTAGTTTCGACGATTCCCATAGTTGAAAGGTATGGTTATTGTTTTTAATGAATTGCAGTTATATTCTCTTCGGAGAAAAATGTAAGTAATGTGGTATTGTGACTTTTGTTGGATGAGTATTGAGTAATATTCTTGCAGGCTGACTGACTGTTAAATGAGTTACTTGAGCTCACACCAATTAAAAGGACCAATATACCTTTACGGTGTATCTTCAAGCATGAGGGCGTGATCAAACTGTATGGAGGGAAATAAACTTCCCATCTGGAGTTTACTCTGAAACTCATACATAAAGTTTTGAGGAACACCATCTTAACTTAAAAAAAACACTAAAACGAATAAATTTGGTTTTTATTTCTTAAACAGTAAATATTCCTCTCTCATCTAGTTAACTTTAACAACAGTATCACAGCCCACACACAAATTAAGTGACTTGTGTGGCGCATATGTATTCTGTGCCCCTTTGTACTAATATTTATGTGTTTAACTAAATAATTAACAGCTTATGGTTTTTGACTTTTATCTCGATCACGATGGAAGTGTAGTATCTACGAATCGGGATCTCGGTCTTTTAGTTTACAATCATGATGGACTCCGTTGATTCCTAAATAATGAAGTGAAGTGTCTATATATTTTACATACATAGTATATGTGTAGATCATGATTTTATACTATAGTGCTTTAAACAGATACAATGCTAGTCATTAATTGGGACTCATCTGCTTGCCTTTGTTTTTAGGATTTGGAAACTCACTTTCTGCCACTGATCAAGCGTTTGGCAACAGGTGACTGGTTTACTAGCCGTACTTCTGCTTGTGGACTGTTTAGCGTGATTTATCGACAGTCTTCTACTGCTGTCCGTGCAGAACTGCGTCGCGCCTTTAAGCAGCTTTGCACTGACGATACTCCTATGGTCAGGCGTGCAGCTGCTAACCGTCTCGGAGAACTAGCTCGTTGTTTGGAACTAGATGCGTTACGTTCGGACCTGTTACCGCTATTACCTCCTCTTTCCCAAGTAAGCCCAATATATCTCTACATTTCCATTAAACCACAAGAGTAAAAATTAGAGTTTATCTACTGCTGTCCATCCTAATTGTTTTCTGTTTTAGCAGGATGATCAGGACTCTGTACGATTACTGGGTGTGAATGCGTCAGTAGATTTCGCTGAAGTTCTTCCTACTGAAGATGTCTTGACACACATCATTCCTCTTATAAGAGGAGCTGCAGAAGATAAATCTTGGCGAGTCCGTTATCAATTAGCTGATCACATTACTGATCTACAGGCTGCAGTAAAACCCCAACTTGCTGGACAGCACTTGGTAGACGTTTACCAGGTTAGCTTTCTCCATAATTTTAGCGTGATATTCGTACCTTAATCGTTCCCCCTTATCTCAAGAAAGATTATAGGTACAATTCCCGATCGAAGCTGCTACCTTGACGCGGTGGTCGGGCTTGCCTATCGTGATGACCCAACCGAGCTATATTGGCTGGAACATATGTTCCTGCAGGTTCTACCATGCCAGGCAGGTCGATTGGAGAACGGTGAGACTAAAAGCAGCAACTCAAGGTCTGAGGGCGAAGTCGTACTGCTGACTGTAGAGAGGTGTGACAGCAGTAAGGTGTTTCTCTCGGACAACCAGCATGACAGCGATGCTGCCTTCCCACAAGGAGGGGTGGGGTTAGAAAAGGTCGACCCTAAAAATGCACACCTCACCTTACCTCACGGATTTCCGTCTCCGGCGGTAAGGCCCCTTGAAGAACGGAGCTGACACGTCAAAAACCTTCCACAAAAAGGCCGTGCGCGACCGGCCTCAAGCAGTTGTCCCTTGGGCTCTGCGGTCACGCTCCCAGGTCGTCAAGACCAACACTAATCCAATTTCCTTTTCAGGTTCCTCAAGAAATACCCTTCCACGGTGTGGGCAGCCGGGAAGTGACATCAGCCCTCATACCCGTAACAGCACAAGAGACCAAGGTGGTCACATTCAAATCCTTCCTACACCTCCTAATACCTCTCTTATCCTCCCGACTAACCCTCCTCACGTCTCTTTATCACCTCGCACCGCTAGGGCAAACGATTCGAGTACGTGGAACGCCATTCCTGGTCTCCTGAAACCACGCTCTAAACTACACGTTGGAGCTTTTAACGTACGAACACTTTGCCAAATAGGACAGCAGGCTTCCTTAGCTAGGACTTTCGAATCTCGCGCCATCGATGTGTGCTGCGTCTCCGAAACGCGTATACAGGATCCGAGTAGCGTCATTCATTTGACCTCACCATGCCAAAATAAAGAACCGACTCGATTTACGCTTCGTGTATCTGGAAGCCCTGATTCTGCTTCCCGTGGCCTCGCCGGCGTAGGTATAGCATTGAGTCCTAGGGCAGAACTAGCTCTCTTAGAGTGGATCCCAGTAAACAGTCGTTTGTGCGCTGTCCGACTGAACGGAAGTGTAAGAATCCGGAAAGATAGGGACACTCGTCGTTGCCTCTTCGTCGTCTCAGCCTATTCTCCCACTGACTGCAGCTCAGATGATGTAAAAGATGAGTTTTACAGAAAGCTTTCGGACCTTCTCCGAAAAGCTAAGCGCTCGGATGTAGTAATAGTGGCCGGTGACTTTAATGCTCAAGTAGGTAAACTAAGCGATAGGGAAAGACACCTAGGTGGATCCTATGGTGTCGTGGCTCAGAGAACAGATAATGGCGACCGTCTGTTGCAGCTATGCTCAGATAACCGCCTGTTCCTTGCAAATACTAACTTTAAGCATAAGGAAAAACATCTTTTAACATGGCGATCCCCTAATTCGTCCCAACGTTGGACCCAAATAGGTCACATCGCTATCAGCCACCGATGGAGGGGCTCGATAGAAGACTGTCGCTCATTCTGGAGCACATGCCTAGATTCAAATCATGCTCTAGTGCGAGCGCGTATTTGCTTGCGTCTTACTGGACGTAGGAAAGATCCTGCAAGGAAACCTCTTAGGGCCCTACTTAATGATAGTCAAGCTAAGAATATATTTCAGGAACAACTAGGAAAACAGTTAGGCAGCCATGTATGTGATGCCCACCCCGAGGCAGCATGGAACGATTTCCGAAAAGCTGTGGAAACAGCAGTGATATCTGCTAGTAAGGTAAACCGTAAAGTTAGGGAGCAACACTGGATCTCAGCAGCATCTATCGCACTGATAGATGCTCGAAAACTCATTCCACCTGGCTCTGAACATAATGAAGAGCGGAGTCAGCTTAAGCGCAAGCTGACAAGAAGTCTACGCAATGATCGCTAACAGTGGTGGGTAGCGAAAGCAAGAGAGATGGAAAAGGCAGCGGCAATAGGTAATAGTAGACAATTGTTTAGACTCGTTAAGGAAACCGGCATTAGGAACCCGACCGTTAGCGAAACAATCTCAGAGAAAGATGGACATATTACTCCTGAGATTTTTAAGGATGGTGGTCCAGTATTAGCAATGAGATTAACTGAGGTCTTAGGTAGAATTTGGGAACTGGACGTAATCCCATCTGACTGGTCTCAATCACTGATTGTGCCAGTTTTTAAGAAAGGACAAAAGTCCTCTTGTGACAATCACAGAGGAATCAGTTTGACTAATATAGTGTCTAAAATATTAGCCTCAATAATACTTCGACGCCTAACTAAAGCTCGTGAACAGCAGACTAGAGAAAACCAGGCTGGTTTTCGACCTGGACGTGGTTGTATCGATCAGATATTTACACTACGTCAGGTTCTAGAACAGAGACACACATTCAGACGCCCCACAATCGTAGTATTTCTCGACCTTAAGGCGGCATTCGACTCCGTTGATCGTGAGGTTCTATGGCAGTGTTTGTCACTGAAAGGAGTACCAAAGAAGTACATTAACCTTATAAAGGCTCTCTACTCGAACACAACTGGTAGAGTGAGAGCTTATGGCGAACTGTCATCAGAATTGATTACCTCAAGTGGTGTTCGTCAGGGCTGTCCACTCTCTCCATTCTTGTTCAACTTTGTCATTGACGTACTTTTAGAGATAACACTCTCCTCATCTAAATTTACAGGGGTTGAACTTCTACCAGGAGGTTCACTTGTTGGCTTAGAATATGCTGATGACATAGTTTTATTTGGTGAAGACGCTGACAAAATGCAGAGTCTTCTGACCACTCTAAGCAACAATGCAAGCATGTTCGGGATGCGATTCACTCCCTCGAAATGCAAAATGTTGCTTCAGGATTGGGTTACATCGACACCCGAACTAGTGATAGGGAGTGAAGTAGTTGAGTGTGTCGACCGCTTCACTTATCTTGGAAGTCTCATCAGCCCTTGTGGTTTGGTGTGTGACGAAATCTCAGCACGGATACAGAAGGCTCGACTAGCTTTTGCCAACTTGCGTCATTTATGGCGTAGGCGAGATATCCGTCTATCAACCAAAGGACGTGTTTACTGCGCAGCAGTTCGTTCCGTCCTACTTTATGGCAGTGAAACATGGCCGGTAAGAGTAGAGGATATTCGTAGGTTACTAGTATTTGATCATAGGTGTCTTCGAAACATTGCTCGTATATCATGGGACCATCGAGTAAGTAACACAGTTGTTAGGAAACGGGTACTAGGTAAGGATGGCAAATCAATTGATGACGTAGTGAAACTTCATCAGTTGAGATGGCTGGGACACGTGTTACGTATGCCCAACGACCGACTGCCTCGACGTGCTATGTTCAGTGGTATAGGAGTAGGTTGGAAGAAAGCTAGGGGCGGCCAAACCAAAACATGGCACAAGTCCATGAAGTCACTGACAAGTGAACTGAGTCATGTTGGTAGGTGTAGACTACCTGGTTGGGGACCGCGAGATGACAGCAACCGATGGTTAGAGACCCTGAATGACATGGCTCAAAATCGTTTGCAATGGCGCAGGTGCATCCACTCTCTGTGTTCTCCCAAACTCTAATCTTCTGAATTCTTCATGTCCCTTTTTTCCTCTTTCCAAATTTCTTTCACTGGATTATACTCTTTAAATAACATCTCCAAACCCTAATCTTCCCGATTACTGCTTATACTCTTATTACCTCTACCACTACGGGATTTGAATCGACAAGTGCATCTCTGTGCTAATGTGGTGTGGCAACTCGAACTGATGTACGTACGTACGAAGTTCTACGTTGTTACTGACTGACTGACTGATAGGTACAATTCTGCTTTAACCGTACCATCTGTTTTTCGTGTTGAAACGTTCATACATTATCATTAACTTCATAGTCCCATTCATAAACAGGCCATTAATTTGATTTATGTATTTCATGATAAGGTAACATTTTCAAAGCCTTTTAAATGTTGATGTAAATTTGAAACACATTAGTTTCTTATTTTATCAGAAAGACCTTTCAACCATGAGTACGCAGATGACATCGTTTTACTGTGACGTGGTATGCAATGTATTTAAATCGCTTTTGACCAGTTTAGAGTCACTATCCGTAACCGTAACATTCTCTTTGAACCTTCTGAAGGTAAAATATATCCTCATGGCTGACAAAAGCTTGTGCTTGGATGCTTTATGGTGATGCGTTAGAAAAGTTTGCTTATCTTGTTAATCGTGTGAGTGCTGTCGATGCTGTAGCAGATAAAGTCAATCTACACATGGCGAAACCTAAAGTCGCCCTTACTTACCCGGTCCATCTTCGGCGCCTGTCGTGACATTAGGTTGGTTGTAAAAGGTCATTTTATTTTATGCTTGCCTATCTGAGCTAGAGATATTTTTGGTGACGCCTCGGTCATTTTGCTCTCCGAAGCATGTCCGACATTTGATGGCAGCGCCATGTTAATCATGCTAAGGTTCGGCAATATGTGTTTGAACGCACTGTCGAAAATCCAACCAGTATCATTATCGGGAAGCACTAACTTCAGTGACTTGAACATGCTTTACGAATGTCACATCTTGCATTGTTGAGACTTTGTGGAAAAAGTAGGGTTAGATGATATTTATCACGGGTCTGTGTTTATGACAACTGTTTAAGACTGGCATCTGTCGGTCTATCACAACTCCCTGGTTGGAGTCCTAGGGTGAGTGAAACTCTGGCTTTTATCTGACATACCTCAACGTAGAAGCTAATAGAAACTCGTCCGTATTTTGTTTTACATTCATCTACTTTTGCAACCTCTCCTTCCAGGAGGTCCACTAATCGACTTAGAATACGCAGATGACATAGTCCTGTTTGGTGAAGACGCTGACAAAATGCAGAGTCTTCTGGTAGCACTGAGCAACAATGCCAGGATGTTTGGAATGCGCTTCTCTCCCTCGAAATGCAAGTTGTTGCTTCAGGACTGGTCTGCGTTAACACCTGAACTAAGGATAGGGAGTGAAGTAATCGAACGCGTTGACAACTTCACTTATCTTGGAAGTCTGATCAGCCCTAATGGGTTGGTGTCTGACGAAATCTCAGCACGGATTCGAAAAGCTCGTTTGGCTTTTGCCAACTTACGTCACCTATGGCAAAGGCTAGATATCCGTCTATCAATAAAAGGACGAGTATACTGCGCGGCAGTCCGTTCTGTCTTACTTTACGGCAGCGAAACATGGCCATTACGAGTAGAAGACACTCGTAAGCTACTAGTATTTGACCACAGATGCCTCAGAAATATTGCAGGCGTCTGCTGGGAACACCGGGTAAGTAATAGTGAGGTTAGACGCAGGGTATTAGGAAATGATGGTAAACCAGTTGATGAGGTTGTGAATCTTCATCGACTGAGATGGTTGGGCCACGTGTTACGTATGCCTGAACACCGATTACCACGACGTGCAATGCTAACCGGTATTGGAGATGGTTGGAAGAAAGTTAGGGGCGGCCAAACCAAAACGTGGCATCCGTGCTTGAAGACACTAACTTCTAGTCTGAGCCATGTTGGTAGATGCAGACTACTTGTTTGGGGTCCGCGTGACTATCGTAACCGATGGTTGGAGACTCTTTGTGACATGGCTCAGAATCGGTCACAATGGCGTCGGTGTATACACTCCCTGTCTTCCCTTAAACTAAGAGATTAAAATCGCTTCATGCCTTTCTTTCTACGAACCAGTTTTTTCTTCTTGTACTATATCTCTATATGCAATCTTTCCCTTATATATTACCACCTTTGACCTAACCACTGCTGTGAATCCGGTGTTCATCTTGTTGTGCTGATGCGGTATGGCAACCTGGACCGATGCACATATGTGCCTGGTCCTACGTTGTAGCTGACTGACTGACTGAATTCATTTAACTAAAACGATTCTTTCAGCTGTATCTTTAACGAACCTTTCTCTTGTTACATACTGTTCTTATGTATATATTTCCTGCTTTTACTCCTATTCCTTCCCGTATTTCTTCACGGTGTTATCTCTATTTGTTTGGTACATATTCTGTTGGTGCTCAATTGTGTCGGAATTCCTTCATACTCAATAAAATTTTCACTGTTTAACTGGTAAATAAGTGGCGGATTTATTTCCTGATGATTCGTATATAATGAAAGGTCGAAATAGTTACTGTTGGACTTACTCTTGCTCATATGGATTTCTACCTTTCAACTCACCAACAATGAATGAGAGCGCATAAGAAATTCAAGTTGTACACCACCAAATAAATCTGATGGGAACGTTTGTCACACCCCAATTACCGTTTACATCGACTTTTAATGTTTGGAATGGAAATGGGTTCGATGGAGACATTTGGGTGCCAAAACAAGACATACTATCAGTCTCTGAAGTCAGTGTTTGTTGGATTGTCATTGTGGTAGGTGTAGACCACCTAGTCAGGGGCAACACATTAACCGCGATTAGTGATAAGAGACGTCAGGTGACATTTCAGGATCGATCACTTATTCAGTCAGTCATCTTTAAAGTGAAACGGTATTGGTTCAAGTCCCCGCACCTTATCGATACAGTAAGATTGTAAAGCCGAATCTCAGAGTAGTATAAGTAGTGATACTGTCAGTGGTAGTAGAGAAGATGAGGCATCAAAGATACTATCCAAAAAAGAATATTAATAATATTAATAAAATTAGAAGAAAATAACTTGAGGAAATTAGATCCAGCAAAAACTGAATGTGCTTGCGCTATTGTGAATGGTTCTGGGCTATGTCACTTACGGTCACTAAACATTAATCACGCGGCTCTGTCTAACAGCTAGTATTTTAGTTTAGTTGCCCCTTTCACACAATGTACTTACACACCAGCGAACATCGTGCGTCGAGGTAGGCTGTAGATGAGCGTACGTAATACGTGTTTCATCCATCTCAATCGATAGATGTTTAGTACATCAATCGGTCACAATGGAGCAAATGGATTCATTCTTTCTTATCACAAGTCTTGATCATCACTATAATTTCATACGTCTATTTCTAGAACTCATCTCTTTTCAAACCATATTCGCCGCTGTTTGATCTTGCGTGCTGCCATTGATATATTCAATTTGTGACCAACGTCCATTCTTTCACAATTACCTTCATCGATGTTACGGTTTCAATATATCGGTCAATAGTGGAGTGAAGTTATATCTGAAGTAATTAGGGCATCTATTAAAAAGTCCGAAACATTTCATACGTCGAAATATACTATTTTAAGTGGGAGTTGAGAAAGAAGTCCAAGGTACTTAAATGGATAGATATGAACGTTATAAAAATGAGTGGGATTCGCTTGTATTTATATTCAACGTTTTAGAATGAAAACTTTTTTTATTAGCAAGGGAGCTACTCAGTGTAGTTTGGAGATTTCTTTTGAGGATATTTAATCAAAAGGAATTCATTTACTGGTTTCTGTGTTATTTCTGTTAATTTATATTCCAATTTCCCCTCTCTTAATTTCACGGAAGCCGATTTCACAGTCAAACTAATGAGTTAAGATGTGGCATCTAACCCTTGAAGTAGGTGCCGTTGTCACTATAAAAAACTCTGTGGTATGGTGTTTGTTGTTTTAACTTAAACGTCAATCTTTCCCAATGAATGAAAGTATCGATGACCTGAAACTAAAGGAACATGCTATTAGACTTCTTGTTTTGTATTTTATGAAACATGAGTCGGAAAGATTCCATATTCCCGTTAGTTTACAGACATAACGGGGCCAGTTAATTAAAATTGATCAAATGTGTAAATAATAATCTATTTCTTTGATCAACTCGCATTCAGTAACATTCATATATGTACCGATTTCCGCTCCACTTTCATACCTATCCTGACATTGAAATGTAAATAACAACCAATCACTTCAATAATCATATACTGATTACCGTGTTTAACTAACCATCGATTAATTCAATGGTTCGTACACACGTGTATATTCGTTCTCAATAGGATTTCGATCATATTGTTAATGAAGTAGAATGGCGTGTACTTAATGCATGGTCATCGTTGGTTTCTCTACTCTTAGCTTCATTTTACTTGTTACATGGTTTAATTAATGTTCTTAAATCGTCAAAATATAGCAAAATATTTATGGTTAAATAACAGGAGAATTTTATCTAGTGATTATATGAATCGAAATAGCCGACAATGGCGCTGGTGCACTCACCCTTCATCTTGATCTTAAATTCCAGTATTCCTTCATTCATACCTTTCCATTGTCTTCTCAAACTATATTCTCAGTGTCTAGTCTTTATCACTACAACTACTACATCACTCTGATATGTGGTAGTGAAAGAAAAATATGATTAGTCGTTGAGCGTGAACAAACAGCCACAGCCTACGGTCTATTAAATATTTGATTTCCCTTCCTGTCATTGATTTCTACTCCGGACTCACTAAGTGTGTCCGCTTGTAATTTTGTTGAATAAAGTATTATTTAGTGTTATTCTGGTTCTCTGTTCTGACTTGTGAGTCCTGGTTCTTATATAACGTGATTAGTCTTATTGACGTACTATCGTAATATCCGTGAGATAGAAATATTTTAAACCATCCGTTATATTACACTCCCATCTCTTTTGTTATTTGTATTTCGTCGTGCTAATCAGGTGTGGAAAGTATGGTAACTTGGGCCATTGCACATCTGTCCCAGGCTATATGTTCATAATTTGTGTACGTAATGATGATATCTTTCATCCATCACTAGATAACAATAATAGCTCATGTTATTACTGCATAGTTTGAGGCCAGCTTCTTTTGTGTCAGTGAATCACATCTCATTAATGTAATTCGCATAATGTAACTTGTTAATAGAAGTAGGTTTGACTGCTTGACTTTAAGCCACACTTTATGTGAAAACCAGCAATACTATTCGTCTACCTAAAGCGACGTAGGTGAGATGTTGTTTAGAACTACAATCCGGTTTTTGGAATCCAAGCGTCAACTCACTAGCGGTACGCTGACTCTTTTAAACTATTAATGTTTAGATGAATAAATGCTTTTGGTGAAATATTCTGACCAAGTATGCACTCGTTTCTAATGCAAAAAACTTTCTGTCTCAATTCTAGATCCTTCTCAAAGATCCAGAAGGAGAAGTTCGCGCAGCGGCTGCAGGCAAACTGAAGAAGTTTGCTTCGTCTCTAGCCCCTGATATTCGTGAATCCGTAATTATGAAAACATTGTTACCTATCATTCGGGAAATGGTCGGTGAAACTAATTTACAGGTAAAAACGGCTCTGGCCGGTGTCATGATGGCTTTAGCTCCGCTGCTTGGCAAGGAGAATACATTAGAACATCTTCTTCCATTACTGTTGATTCAATTAAAGGACGAAAATCCAGATGTAAGTTTAGATTCATAGTTTCCTACTTTTGATTAGCCGTAGTAAATGAAACACCCTATACATTTCTGTGTTATTACTCCACACAAATTGCTAGATCTGGTCAATTTCATCATAAAGTTCCTGTTTGTTTTTCACTCCTACTCATATTGAATTACTGTATAGTTAAACTATCCGGATGATGTAAATTTTGTTGTCCGTTGATTATCAGCAAGAATAAAATCAGGAAACATTTGGTGAGCGTCATCTATATAACTATAAATTTGTTTGGCAAGTTGATGAAAATAATACTTATGTAACCAGATGTAGGTCAAAACAATGGAGAAAAGTCCAGTAGTTTTATTATAGTTTTGAAGTCCAGTTTATTTTGTTCCAATCTTAATCAGCGAAATATTTATGTTGTGTTTAGATTATAATAGAGTGTAATCATTTTGTCGATACTTTTCTACCGTACGTTAAAAATCAGAGTAAGCTTATTTTGCACATTTTTCACTTGGTTACATATGACATAACAGACAAAAATCTTTTTTATGCGTGGAAAAGTGACCTTGTAGTACCATACAATAAAGAGCTGGGAAAGTTTACAAAAGTTACCCAAATTCCATAATTCTGTTTTTTACATGTAGGAAATTTTAGCATAAGTAACCCATTGTACTAATTGTAATTTTTGAAAGCGTCAAGACATTTTTTTACTGTTATAACCAGTATCCATCTGGCTAAGGTGAAGAATATTGAGAGAAACTCGTTCTAAAAATTTACCTCCTTGTCCTTCGCACAGTTCTGTCATCTTATTATTTGTGTGGTAATTGTTGCATAATAATAGATTTTTATTTATCTGTTGTCAATGAATCCTGAATTATGTATGGTTTTGTTTTTTATAATATCCAATTTTCGGAAATATGTCTCACTTTTTTGTAGGTCCGTTTGAATATTATATCTAATTTAGAGTGTGTAAATCAAATTATGGGAATTACCCAACTTAGTCAAAGTCTACTTCCTGCTATTGTTGAATTGGCCAGTGATACAAAGTGGCGTGTTCGTCTAGCAATAATTGAGTATATGCCACTATTAGCCAGTCAGCTTGGTTTGCAATGTTTTAACGAGCGACTCACAAATTTATGCTTGGGTTGGCTAGTAGATGATGTATACGCTGTACGTGAAGCAGCTGTAACAAATTTACGAAAACTTATGGATCAATTTGGAGTCGATTGGGCCAGTTCTCAAATCATCCCTCGTGTAAGTTAGCTATCCTCAGTACTCTTTAATTTTTCTTCAGTCTTGCGGTCAAACGGTCGCGCTCTATTTTCACATTAGCTGATCATTTTTTGTCATAGCAAACTTGTTTCAACTCCAGGTGTCAATGGGTTTTTAGTGTTTTTCTTCATATTTGTTTTATTCAATGGCTTGGTCGATCAAGGCCATTTAATTAACAATAGTATTTCATTCACATCACATTTTTTGTAGGTTATATTGTAAAACATATTATTTTATCGTTAAACTGATACTTTTTTTGTCTAAGAATTCCTTTAGACATCCTGAATTATGGCAATCAAAACAATGCAACAATTTTTCAGTGTTTCTGTTTGTTGGACCTAACCTTCAGTTTTCCTGTTTTATTGTATTCACTGTCATTCCACATATTATCAACGCAAATACCAGTTCTTTGTTTGACTGTTGTTGGGAATTGTAGAGTCGTTCTTTTTTATGATAACTTCGTATTGTCTTCATTTATTATTGGTTGTTTCCTCCGAAAATTGTTTAAAAGCATATCCGATTGCCTCCGAACCCCAATTTTGGCTACAAAACATTGCTGCATACGGACCATGTATAATGCTCTCCTGATCGTCTGTTTAAGGACTATGGAAAAGTTTCACTGACTTATCGTTGATTTGCGTTGCTTTCTTCACTTTTAATGACTACCGATGAAGTGAGATATAAGTTTAGTCAAATTTTTTCTAATTTCATATCTGAGTATAAACATAAATCCCATTGAGACAATTAGTGAATAGAAGAACAGAGAGGGGAAATTTTTCTCAGTTATTTTTCGTCATGGCTCAGTCAGTCAGCTACAACGTAGGACCAGGCACATATATGCATCAGTACAATTTTCTATACCTCATTAGCACAAGATGAACAGCAAGATCATAGAAGCACTTACTTCAACGATAGTAAAAAACATTAGGGTGTATATAATTTATAACGACATATTACTGATTGAGTAACAGTATTACATAATAATATTGTAAGTTCTACAAGTTACTAAAAATCATTCCATTTATCAACTAAGTGATGGAATATGGTGATTGTAATAATCAAAGTAATTACTTGTAAAATCGGGAACAGTTAAGCGACTGTCAGAATACTTAATCACTCACCTACTCACTCACTTCTCAGGTACACCATATTGTCGAAGAAGGTTACATACGGTTCTCCTATCCACACTGTCGAACGCCTTCTCATAGTCAAGGAAGTTGATTTGTAGTGACAAATTCCATTCAAGCGATTACCCAACAATGATCCGTAGTGTCGCGATTTGGTCTATGAACGACCAATCCTTATGAAATCCAGCCCGTTGCTTTCGAAGTTGCGTGTCTACTAAATTTTTCATTCGGTTCAACAACACTACGTTGGAAACTTTTCGTGGTACTAATAGTAGTTTGACGCTTTCGTAGTTCTCACACTTGCTCAGATCTCCTTTCCTTGATATCTTTCTTTCCAGTCTGTCTGCACTTGTTCTTCCTCCCAAATCTTCATGAATAGAACGTGGAGCATGTTTGCAGTTACTTCTTTGTCTTACTTCAGTGCTTCAGCTGGTATATTATCAGGTCCTGCTGTTTTCCCACTCGTGATTTGTTTGATGCCCATGCTGATTTTTTCGATCGTTGGAGTGACATCTATGGGAAGGTCTGTATGTGCTGCTTCGATGTTTGGTGGGTTCAGTGCTCTACCCACTAGTGCCGTTGTTCTTAAACCGCAATGATTGATTTAACTTCTTGTCCTTGGCTGGCTTACAATATTTCCCTGATGGTTTCTTCGTTGTCATATAGTTATCTCATATTTCCTTCTCTTGAAGCTTTTCCCACTATCATTTCTTGATCTTATGTATTAAGAAAATTTATAAAAGCTTTTTATAATTCGTTAATTTTGCGGAAATTGCGGAAGAATTAAGAGAGGAATACTAAAGTCATGTAAAAACCAAAACTTGAAAGAAATTAGAAAATGTTTTTGTAATGTATGTGATGGATCAACGTTCATTTATAACCCACCCCCATTTTAATGACCTGGTTAAGTAAAGAACGGTTAAAAATGACTACGACTTACGTTCTCGTTCACTTAGTGAACGTAAGACCTCGTCTTAATTTGAACTAAACTTCCACCAAATCCACCACATAGTGGGGTTAATCACATACCTCTGAACATGTTGGTATCCGCATTCATACATCTTTGCAGAAGTTTGTTCAACCCTTCCCCATTTTGACATTAATTATAATATTATTTAACTTTTTTACTGCACCAACATTTTGTCGTCGTAAATCATTTACGTTTATGTCTACCCATGATGAAAAACTAGTTAAAAAGAAATATTTACTCTCTCTGTTCTGTTTGATAAATATAATCTTCATAGAAGACATTCTCTGTGAAATAATGAACAAGTCAACGCAAAATATGTGGTGATAACTCAAATTCAGGATGCTATTGATGGGAATCCTACTCAACTAACTGTTGATCAAAAATATTAACCTTATGTATATGCTTGTCACAAATACCCTATGCTGCTACTCCGTAATACCAAAGTATATTGGTAGATTAAGAAGCTGCCGTAGATAGATCGATTCTATAACTTTAGTTATTGCAAGCGAGTGAAACCCAGTTGTCATCGGTGATCTCACATTTGGATTTTGCGAAGTGCGTAATGTCCGTGATCCACTATTCCCAGGTGATCGTAGATCTTAAATAAAATGTGACTATTCGCTTTCTTGAGGATGAGAGCCATTTTGTCGTTTAATATGTATATAAAACCATAACATTCTTTAGAACAATCCTTAGAATGTTGATAATAAATCATGATGCACTTCTATGCAATTAACAATAGAGTTTCGTCATCAGATCTTAGACTTAATACTATTCAGTAGTATAATGCGACGTCAAGAAATTCAATTTTCCGTTGCGACGAAAAACACAAAAAAGCTAACATTCTCCCTTGATTCACAATTTTTTCAGAAGTTCTATCTGTCTTCATTGCTTGACTTAATTGGAATTTAGTTTGTACGTTACCATGAGTAATTGTCAAGGGATTCGTAACATTGTAGAGTCTTCATCACTCAATGGCAAAGGAAAGTTAATTTACGTACCCACTAAATACAATGGTTGTGGCTAGTTATCAGGACCCATTGTATTACGGTAATATTCTTTCATCATAGTGAAAATTTGAAGGACGACGGAATTCCGAATTTATTTCTTGTAGTATCGCTTTGTATTTTATAATCACGTTCATTCCACTTCACGACATGCTACATTCCTAATGTTATCCCACCTCCATACACAAACTGTTAAAGCAGTATTTAAGACCCATAATGTGGTTACATGTTGGTATATTCTTCTCCACACATTGGTCCAGGTACATCCGTTGATTGAATTTTTCAACTAATAGCCACTTGTTAGTTAACATGTTAAAGAAAACCCTTGCTTTGATATACTTTTCTTTGTAGCAAATTAAATCTTTTCTGTAATGAATTGTTATCATATTGATTATAACCTAAATATGTGAAATGATTATTGTTGGTAGATGGATTCTCTACATACGAGAATGTATAGTGCATGATATTAATCGTCTGACCACACTATAACTGCTTTATCCATGTTTTACCAAGAATTTTATTTATGCCCTCGAAGGGGGAATATAAACTCTTGCTTGTAAAGCCTTATTCGAGCAGTTTTTAAGTTATTAGTGATTAGCTTCTTTTGTAATGTTTCATTCACTAATTCTTTCACATATTCCTAAGGAATATTTATCTGCTCTGTCTGCTTCAAGAGGACTAGACTGCAAATGACGTAGAGAATTGAGCAGAACAAATTTATTATGTTATGTCAAGGTCAAACGAGTTTCAAGCTTCTGTTAAATCCATGTGTTTTCATAATGCCGTGTTTTGCATACAGTCTATGGTCATTGGGATTTTACTACGAACTGAAATCTCCAGTCCAAGGAATTATTGTTTACCTGTTTGTGATTTGCCTACATATACACTGGTGTGAGTTTTCGACGTACTTACTGTCTTATGGTCTTTTAACTCTCATAGTTAATCTTATTTTATTGTTTGAAAAATGTTCATTCCATACACATGAAGCTTCAGTACCAACGCTACTTCTAAAAGCACTGGTAAGTAAATAAGCAACTAAATTAAATGTAGGCATTTAAATAATGGTTTGGTGATATTTGGCAGGTCACACTATAGTCAATTATTACCTATACACTGCTAAATTAGTCTTGGTCATTTCAGTGTTCTAGACCCAGATTATTTTACTGCACTCTTGAGCCGAAAGTTTTCGATACAGTGGTCTGATTTCTTACTTCATGGGGTTACAATTTTTGTGTTGGTATCAAATGATATTTGTTATTGACGTAGTTGAATTCAGATATCAGAATATATGTTTAGCTCTTCAGAAATAAATTATGGTCTCTGTCGATTGATAAGTGTTTAACTGTAACAAATCATGTGGTTTTGGAGGTTATTCTAGTCATAGTTTAATTGTTTTACTTTTATTCCATGTATGTCACCATAGTGTCACTTTATTTGTTAAACAATCACTACATGAAATACTGACTAACATGAAGGTACGTTCTGTTCAAATATCTGGGAAAATTTATAAGTCTATGTAAAGGTTAGCTTATCAATTCATTAAAATACCACAAGTAAATTCACACAAAATGCATCAAACTTTTTCACGGTTATTTTTAATATAATGATGCCAAGCAACCAAATATTTGACAATTATACATTACTTTCTAAAAATAATTTACAGCTCATACAACTCTCTTACGATCCCAACTATCTTCGTCGAATGATTTGTTTGGCATCCCTTCATCAGCTAGGTGAAGCTCAGTCTTGTCGGTCGGAATTACTGCAGAAACATTTACTTCCTACTATAGTTCAACTGGGTCAAGATCCTGTGCCAAATGTTCGTTTCAAAGTAAGAATGGTATTCAGCATTTGAGTGTTATTATAAGCATAACTAAGCTGTCTTTGATGCTTTTATCCATTTCTGTCTTTATGCAGAGAAACGTAGGTAGAGACTAAGCTGAAAACATGTCAAGTCTCGAGGTCACTATTATCAAATTTATCTAAAAATTAAAGCCTTGAGCCTGATATACATCATACGTTTTCATCAATGTCAGACATGTAGTATCTTATGCTGGTTAAACACAACATGAAACATTGTACATAAGGTCTTATTGATGTTTACCGCAATATATAGTTTTAAAATGATACAGTTTTCCAATGCCTTTTCTGCACATTCTAGGTTGGTCAAATTTTGGGCAAAATTGGACATCTTCTGGATGCATCGACTATACAGACATTTGTTAAACCAACGTTAGAAAAACTGGGCTCTGATACAGATCCAGATGTTGTTTATTATGCCAAAGAATCCAGCGAATTACTTCATCTTTCAGGAAGATGAAAGCCGTGTCAAGAAACCACACGCGTTTTATTCTGTGCACAGGATAATTATGATATTTAAATACATGTAAATTGACAGCATATCTGGTACCTTACTTCCAGAGTAGTGATACCCTATTAATAAAGTAAATGTGAGCTTGTGTGTTTGTGGTTCTTGTTCAATTGTGTCTGTGTATGTGCCTTAACGTAAACTAGTTGCATATGTTTGTATTAGTTATTAAATTCTGTTCTCATTATTATTTTGAAGAAAACGATAAGGGAAGTGCATGTCGTCGTTTAATTTATTTATTGTCAACTGCATGAAAGTAGCTTGCTTTCATAAAGCAAAACTCACATGTTTGTGATTCATCTTTTCTTTTTTATTCAATAAAACGTCGGAATACAATATCGTTACGAATTATGAATATTAGTCGTGTGCTTGGCCCGAATTCCTTGTACAATGTCGCAAAACAAAAATATGCACTATGTGGAAGTGTGCTGCTGATTATAGCTGATCAGATAACTAAAGCTTAAATTTTTAGAAGTATGCTTGTTACTACTGCTTTACCATCTAAGGCAATTCTAAGAAGCTACCTGCCGGGTTGCATAGTTAAGAACACAAAGTACTCGTAACTGACCATAAGTATGAAACCATATACTACATAAAACGTAAAATGAATTCATCATAGTTACAGGTAAATCCCATAGTTTGTTCATAAAAATATCATATTCATCATTGCTACCATTTCGCCTTCAGTAACTTACTGGATTCTGAATCCTTTCAACGTTAAATGCTCATATCTTGTGTGATTTGTAACTTAAATGCAGCTACAATAATTTGTGATTGCTGTCCGGCGACATTATTGTTTGGTAATTTATGTCTGATCTTTGTTCATATTAATACAACACTATGAAAGTAGCGTGATCAAGTTTCTGATGACTTTTGAATGGGCAATAATATGTTGAATAATTAAATAAAATAATGAAAGACATTAAAATCTCTAGAAAAAACACCAACGATCCATTAATAATTGAATTATTTTGGGAATGTAATTTTGTCACCAAATAGTTTGAGTGTCCGTAGAAAAGATCGTATTTTATGATTTTCTAGTAACTGACAGTTACTACTTTGAAGTACGTTTAGACCATGAATAAATTAAGCGAGCGTCTCTAATTCACACTCAGTAAAATAAACTTATCTGTAATTCATTTCTCTAAATTTAAATTTATGACAAACGTGTATTATCCATAATGACGCTTTTTTTCGATTCCCAATTTTCTTGCTGATACCGATAATGTTACTGTTACTATCAATCACATTGCTTAGAGATTAACAAGCATTAAGACGCTTACCATGATATGGGTACAAAACATGGTAATAAAATTCCCTAAAGATAGTGATATACTTGTTCATTGTAAATAGGTTTCACTAAGTATATGCTGACATTTATTGTAAATAATACGTCAATTATGTTGCAGTTCGTTTACAGATTCTTTACGATAAGATTGATCGCCTGAATATTATCATAATTCAATACTAAATAAAGTTACTAAGGCGGAAATTATTGTTTCCTGAAATTAACTACCTGTAGAAACTATTTTCACCTGGTTGTGTAGAATAACAGCACTAATAGGGTGAATTCCCCAGCCTGTTAACAGTACATTTTCTATTCCTTCCATATTTTCACCAGTCAAGTGATGTTTTTAATTGTTCGGTATAATTTTTATACATATAGATTTCCAGTCAGTCAGTAACAACGTAGAACTTCGTACGTACGTACATCAGTTCGAGTTGCCACACCACATTAGCACAGAGATGCACTTGTCGATTCAAATCCCGTAGTGGTAGAGGTAATAAGAGTATAAGCAGTAATCGGGAAGATTAGGGTTTGGAGATGTTATTTAAAGAGTATAATCCAGTGAAAGAAATTTGGAAAGAGGAAAAAAGGGACATGAAGAATTCAGAAGATTAGAGTTTGGGAGAACACAGAGAGTGGATGCACCTGCGCCATTGCAAACGATTTTGAGCCATATAGATTTCCACTCATCTTTAATTGCTTCGTTTCTTTAAAAGTAGTGGCCTGTGTGTATATTAATAAGTTATGTCTTAAATCGATGCACACAAAACATTCTAATCTCAGGTTTCGGTTTATTTTGTATTAGTTAATATGGGTCATTCAACTATTTTTCAATCGAAAATTTTGGCTGGTAAAGTATATTGAGGAAATTATTCATTTAAATAATGATTCCTATTCCAGTGGCCCAATTTGATATAAGTAAATGCTAGGAGTAATCATCTTTGCTGTCCATCAGCGCTGTTCATTACAGTCCGTCACGTATCATGTCTTCACTCAGTTATGTCGGCCGGTTTAACTCGAACTTTCTAGTATTAAATATCGGTCCTGCCATCACGACATGCAATGGGCTTACATTCCGATAAAAATCCTTTAGTAATCAGTGCTTTGGTGCAGTAGTCTGACACCGTATAAGTTATTAAGTAGCTTAATAAACTTATTTACTGGACATATCACTGATAAAAAGACCGAATTGAAAATCAAAATTTTAGGTCATCAAGCAACCTGCTATGTTGCTAGGTCAATCAGCAAAAACTTAAATGAATTTCTCAGTGTTTTAGGTTACCTAAAAATGTATGTGAGTTGGATTTTAGCTCCTCATTTATATACCTGGCGGTTTTCTGATATTCCATAGATCATTAAGGTTCAGAGAGTGGCAGTATTTTTGATTGTCGATTCGCGTATTATCGGCACAAATTTGTTTCTGTCACTACATAGTCCTTTCGTCTACACCAACGAGATTTAAGACATCTATGTGACCAAATTAGCTGAAGGTTATTTCGTACGGTCATAGATTTTTTAAATATTCACAATAATGAGTTACTAAAATATAAATATTACGGTCCTGTTTCGTTTATATGTATACCCAGCTTGACAGGATATATGTCCACAGAATAGAAGAACATCGTATAGCCTCGGTCTAGAGTAAAATTATTTTCCTAAAAGTTCCTACAAAAAAATCACCTTAATGACGTTCAGGCGTATAAAGAGTACTAGAGTGTATTGAAGGCTGCCATATTTTCTGTTGTGTTGTGCGGAAATTAACAGATCATCTAACATACCAATCTGTTTTTCATGAACTCATTTGTTATTTGACCTAAACATTCTTCAGCATTAGAGATAACATGAGAGCAATGACGTTGCTCCTTGATATATAGTTTTCGGCGCAGTGCTTTTAAACCAACTTCTTACATTTCCGTGGAGTTACATTTTCGGAGATGTCGGTTTGAATTACGTGCATCCTCAGGACCTACTTCAAATGTGACAGCTTTTTGATTATTCCAGAAGGTTCAAAGAAGTTTGGTTGGATGGCCTTGTTTCCTACTGGTTGTGTTCCTAGGTTCCACCTCATATCTTTGGGTTCCCATTGCACGTTTTGTTCGGTTAACTTCTGACCCACGTGCTCGATTGATCTTTTCCACATAGCTTGACAAGTCGGATTTATGTCTGTGTATCTGACGATGGGATCTTGAATTGAGTTCCGTGCCATTTTCTACGGAACACTGAAATGAAATGAATTTCCTTAACTTTTCGGACAATGACAACGCTATAATGAATTTCGCCTTTTGAATAATATCCATTTACAGTTTTTTATGCTCTGTTGGATCATTGCTATCGTATTTTAGTATTTAGTTTGTATGGCTTGGCACCTTATATTCTTATGTTCCCAAAGTCCATGTGTCGTACTAATGAAGATATCGGGAATCGGATTTTTTACTTTTCTGATTTTCCCATTGCATAATCGACTTCATCGATGTCGCTGATGAGCTGATGAACGATTTCCAGTTTTCTTTCTTGGGAATAACAAGTATGTGATCTATGTAAGGTATCCAGATATTTAATTTTGCTCTTGATAGAGCTGTAACTTCGAGTCTTTGAATTATTGCTGTTGAGTAGAGCCGTGATACAATCAGTCCTATAGGAGTTATTTATTCTATCTGTATATTTGACCTTCCAATCGAAAACGTTACAAGGAACAAATCTATGTGCTAACATAACTGTTTTTCGTTGCTCAGCAGTTGTGATATGAATTTTGTAGAAAGATTTGTTCCTAGTGCTCTTTGCTTCTGTTTTGGATAATGATTGTCTTGATAGATTTATTACACTATATTTTCTGTGGTTGTCTGTTTTGATTTTTTCGATACATTTTTCATCGGAAACCATTCATTGTTTCTTTGATCTAATGTCGACTATAATGTTCGATGTCATTAAGTGCTATGGGCTGATTATCTTCAAATTTATTGTTGGCTAGGCTTTGGTAGTGGCCACCTGTGGTTTTGCAAACTACTGAGCTAATTTTCATTCACAATGACTCAAAACAAAAGATACTGAACTGATCCATTATGCAAATCCTCATCTAGTTATTTTACCTAACAGAAAATTCGCTTAGAATCACAGAACTTTATGTTATTCGGTCAGTTCTTATGTTTTACTTGAGTGCCAATATAATCACAGGCAATCAACAGTGATAACAATTTCATATAGCAATTAATATGTTTGTCAATCAATTATTTGACACGTTTCGTTTAAATGAGATGTGGTGAAGCTTAGATTGATTATACTTATTGATCAAGTAGAATGCTTAATTAAACCTTCAAATTTACGATCTTACGCTTCAATATTTAAAGCTAAAATTCAGCCAGTCACAAACAACAGTAATGATAGTATTTGTTGTTAGGTATTTTCTAAAACATATAAGAGTCTTCAAACATGACCAACTCGGTTTTATATCTCATAATCTAAGTTAAGCACTTATTAATATTTTGACTTTACATTAACTGGAAACACGAAACTGTTTCGATTTGGACTTTTAATTAAGGACCTTCGGAGGGATAGGCATGAAGATATATATATATATATCTTATTTGAATGGTTTGTTGCTAACCCATCCTAGTTGCTTCCATAAAAGTGAATAATATAACATTGCATCTTTATTTTGTCGTAGTCTTAGGCAAATGTTATTAACATGAGGTTTTTACCTGTTGATATTTTTCAATTTAGTTGTTTACTTTTCTATTCTGTCGCGAGTTCGTATGACCTTAAATGACCCTGAAAAAAAGTTATGAAATGAATATTTTAGCATTACTGTTATTGTTTTCTCAATAATTATCATATACTCTTAAAGTCATAGTAGATTTGAAAATTTTATTTATTTACCTTCTTCATTTAATGTTATCAAATAGTTCTCTTCATAAAACTATTTCTGTGCGTCCATTATTAA